TTCAAGGTTAGAAAATCTGGGCTGGACCCATGTGGAAATTTTCCCTAAGTGGGTAACATGTCTTGTGTTTGGGTTCTTTCCTGTCTCTCCCCATATTTTAAGCATTTAATGCCTCTGGGTGCACTTAATTGCTTCCTTTTCAGCTTAAAATTGCCTAACTGGTGCTTGGATTAATTAATGATTTTATATACTTCATAGGGTACACTTAGTTGGGAAGTATCTTATTTATGCCTGTGACTGCTTTATGCAGCGTGAAGCTATCCATGGTGTAAGTTAAAATATTTAATTTATTTGGAACTTGATGTCAATGGCTCATATTGCTTCGTTTTTTAATTTCCTTATAGTATTTTACCTGATTATGGTATAAGCTACTGAATTATGCACAAGTTTCGAGTAAAAGTATAAAAAATAAACTTTATTGTTTTTAATTAATTTTATAACACATAAAATTAAAAAAAAAAAAATTATTGGAGAAAGCCTTTAGAAAATTTAAATAGATAAAGATTAATACATATGGACTGTCTATGGTTGTCGAAAAATATATGGGTGTTGATGTCATCATCAAAACCTTAGGGGTTTCTATGCACGTTTTGTTTACTATCACAGCACAAAAAAAATCTCGCCTGCCCAACCAAGCAAGACAAGCTAATCTTTTTGTTTTGTGTCTTTTAGTTTCACATGGAAACGTTCTTCGACTGATTGATTAAAGTTCTTCTGTCGGCGAAAGCTGTAGTTTTCTTGGTTTCCTTAACTGCTTGTGTTTTTTTATTTTGTATTAGTTTTAAGGATCTGGCAAATCTTGTTGGTTTCTTTTAGGGAAAGTTAGTGAAACTAATCTTACAACTCATTAGGATTTTGAACATATTCTGTTTTAAGTTATTTAACAGATCCACACAAGATCAGAGTTCTCTTGGATGTATAATTTTTTTTGTCAAATTTATATTTTTTTTTTTTCTGGAAATTATATATATACTTTTTGTTTTTCCAAATTCAGTGTCCCGCATAGGAGGAATCTGGTTACATCGACATACCTGCATTGATACATTGACTCTCATTTCATAAAACATGCAGGAGAAAAAGAGAAAAAACAGAGCACTTAAATATTTTCCATACCTTCTCCCCGTTTGAATGGAGGAAGACCCTTGCAAGGGCTGTGCTGCATCGAAAAACATCCCCTAATCCACACTGTAATATAATTGTCGAAGCGCATCAATTGATCAAACACAAGCTACCAACAATGATAGATGAACAGAAATTTGGTATCTTGTACGATAATAACAAATATCCGTATGATAAATTCAGAGTCATCATCCAATTGAACTTTCAATAAACGTTTAGGTGCCTCTTCAAGCAAAGGAAGACCCAACTTCCCAGGAAGGCTTCTTACCCTTTACCTAAATAGCAAACTTAAATTCAACTAATGTATTGTTAAATAACACTCGAAACCTCAAAATGCAACAATAAAGTTTACTGCCATAATTTTCAACTTCCAGAGCATAATTGAAAGTTGAAATCCTCATATAATGCTGCTTGAAAAGCAGGAGTAGGAAAAAGCAATAAATACAATAACTACCTACTGAATTTTGTATCAAATGAGAACCCCACCATAAACTTCAGCAATAAATAAAAACCCCTAAAATGAAGCGCATTCACCCAAAGTTAAGGCTCAAGATTCGCATACAACAAATCTCAACATAGGCCTCATATAAAAAAAGAAATCAATGAATATGTAATTTAATCATTTCTTGTGGACCAATCTTTAACCAGCGAGGACTCAATTCAAGTCTATACGAACACTTAAAGAAGGGGACGCAGAATGAAAATGATACCAAAATTACCAGGTGACATAGAAGCTCACCCCAAACGAGTGAACATTTTCAGCTGCTACAACTGATTTTAGGTCAGACAAACTGCATCTACAAATCCGGCTACACTAACTTGAGCTCAAGAGCCAGAATGCCTGCAATGAAAGCCCTGATCGAATACATGGTACAGCAAAATACAAAGAAATAACAAAGTACACATATACCTTACCGGCATTCCCTTCCTCAGACTTAAATTTCTTGTAAAGCAAGATTGTTCCACTGGGTTTGAGAACTCTCGAACTTTCGCCAAGCACCCGATCATCAGGAAACTCGGTGGAGTACTAATAGATATAACAAGTCGAGAGAGTTGGACTCCATTGGCACTGACCTGTCAAACAGAAGAACAAATTGAACAATAACATTGCATACAAAAGGATTGAATTGAATTAGAAAAAATAATGAAAATTGAAAATGAAACCCAAAAGAGATTGAAAAAGTACTTATTGAAGATGCTTCGTGATAATGTAGGGATCACAGTATTCCTCTGCTTCATCCCTGAGCTCTCTCGTTGCATTAAAAATCAAGAAACCATGCTTCTTCTCCTTGGTGCTTGAATAGAAGTGATTAATATCTCTCGAAGAGACTTGCAGGATGGGTACGTAAATTTCATTATTTTTTTTTTCCTTCCGTGCTTGTATAAAAATATCTGGTGATAATTATTTGATCAACAGTTTTAATTATTGTGGTTTATGATAAAATTTGCAGTTATGAGTCAGAATTTATTGAACATTGTTGTTAATGCAGTAACAAGAAAATTAAGTTGTTCATCAGCTTCAACATTTATGAATCTGGAGAAAGTTTTAGTTGGAGTGAGTTTCATTTTTGGAGAAACTACTAATGCAGGCTAAAAACACGAGGCCAATGGTTCAATGGGACCAATTCTCAATTTCCCCAACACAGACCTCTTTTTTTATTTTAATATCAGGACATTGAAATCATTTGATACATTAATTATAAGTTACTGAAATTTGAGTTCTGTGAATAGAAATGATAAATATGTTGAAAATTTCGGTTTATAAAAAATGAAAATCAGTTGTACAAAATTACAACCAGGAGAGGGTTTAATTATTGCCTATACTTCCCTTCGAATGCAAGTTCACTTAGTATCATTAACAAGAAGATATATCGCAAACTTTTGTAAACTAGGGTACATAATTAATCTCTTGAACGTGAACGTGAGATATTTTTAAGGTATTTGGTTACATAATGGTGCAATAAAAAGATATTTTTAAGGTATTTAACTAACTTTTGAACATTAGCTAAATTCTTCGTTTCTTCGAAGTAGCCTACAGATGCTGATGTCAACAAGATGATGTCATGCTGACATCAGCATGAAGGTGTTATCTAATATGAAAAGTTTAAAAATTATAAGCCCTGTAACAAAATAAAATCTGAAATCCAAGGAACACTGTAACAAATACAATAAATCCAAAATCCAAATCCAAAGATCAAGCCATAAACTAAATAAACTAAAAATCAATGTCCAAATCCAATTCAATTTTAATGTTGCGGAGACCCAGATGCTGACATTCTCGGTCTTTTATCTCTTCTCTGACAACCAACATTAACTAGCAATCATACTATTAGATTCAATTTAGTATTCTACATATGATACTTTTGATTAGTAAGAAACTGCATAATTAAACATTAAGTAGCATAGCAAAATTTATTAAACATCCAGCTTACAATTTTCTATATCCAAGTAAACCCACAAACCAAAGCCCACAGGGGATATCCACTAATGATCAATTTCACAAATAAAATTCCCGAAATATATAAATATAAATAAGTAATACAAACAAATAAACTAAATCTTTATTGATAATAATACGAGACAATGACAAGCCTTAAGCTTTCAACATAAATTTCACTAATATAAAACATTCAAGTTATTGATATAATTACACAAACCAAAACCAAAAGCAATAATGCCCGAATTTTCTTCTAAAATTTGGGTAAAAAATCTATCCTAGAAATAGAAATGAAATATACATTAATATTAATTCATTAGCATAAAATGGCTATTGTTTTGTTGAAAAACAAACAACCAAACGAAATGTATGTAAATAAAAAACTACTAAATAATGGAGCAATATTAACCCTCTTGCAAAGAATTGGTATTGCTCCATTATTTTCAAAAACTTGTATACACATAGATCAAAATTTTATCCATTTCTAGATGTAGCTTCAATAGCAGCTAAGTCTAGAGGGAAATTATTAGCATTACATTCAAACATAACTTCCATATCAAGGTAGCATTACATTCAAACATAACTTCCATATCAAGGTTAGTGCGGTTAATAATATCAAACCCATCAACTACAAATTGGTTGAAATTGAAACCATCTAGGTTGAAAGCCATAATGCTAATACCTAAAACAATGAACTAGATAGCTGCTACAAGCCAAACAGCTAGGAAGAAATTTAAAGAACAAGAATTGTTGAAACTAGTATAAAGATTGATTGGCCAAAATAACCATGAATAGCTACAATATTATAAGTTTCTTTCTTTTAATTGAATCTTTAACCTTCATTAGTGAATTTATTATTATTATTATTTTAATCAAACTAGAGGTTACCAAGGAACCATGCATTAGCACTTAATAGGAAGCCGACGAATACACCAACTACGCTTAACATGTTATTGTTATGTCCAAAAAAGTTATTTTGATTTAGAATAATTAGTAGAATTACTCAAATAATTAAGTGTTTTCCACTTAGTGAACTAGATTTATTGTCATTACCTCTTTTTCCAATTAATCCCTTGATCTATTTTAATCACAATGATGAGCAAGTGTATAAATATAGAAAAACACTATACTTACTCATGAGTTGTACTAACTGCCTTACCTTTGTTAAAATTGCACATGGTATCTGTACTATGCGTATAGTATCTGTACTATGCGTATAGTATCTGTACTATACGTTATATTTACAAAGGATAATAAGATGGTTAGTAAGATGGTGAGTAAGCATAGTATTACTCATAAATCTATTCACGAAAAGATAGTGGATAGGAAGTAGTGTTGCTCAAATCCATTTAATACAAAATAGACTTGAAATATATATCGAATCAGTAACATACAATTTAATGTTTATTTCGTTATATTTTATTATTTCTAAAATAATAAATTCCCAATGAAAAACACTGATATCTACAATAATAAGATGAAGTAATGAATATGTGCGTGGAAAATTAGAATGAGAGTCTTCTGTGGGGGCCTATAAATATTTTCACCAGATGAGCCACAATCGCTAACAAACAAAAATATGTACGCCCTCCAGGACCAGGAGTTTACAACTTGTTAGTCCCATGTGGAGCCTCTAATCATTCACATGCGCCAAAAAATGAGCCGGCGATAAAAAGTTTTTTAAAAAAAGACATGGTGAGATCATTGTGGATTGGCCCCACGCAACTCTGGGTGTCTCCACCTTCATCAGAGAATTCTCTAAACGGGAATTTACTCCAGCTACTAATTTTTTGAGATTCATAAATTTTGAAGTTGAAGTTGAACCACTTAATTTACTTGATATTTCCTTCACAACACCTTCGATAAATTCTGCTTCAGGACTGCAAAATAATCAATTAACATTCATTATATTTACACTAATCAATAACAAATTGCATAATTATTATACTGAATTGAGCCAAATCAAATTAATAAACCACAAGGAATTAAAATCACTTACAGCCTTTCTTTTATTTTCTCTTAATCTAATATATTGAGGCAAATCAAATTAATATATACATACACATGATGAAGTGATCATACTTGTGCTTTGCCAATTAACCTCTCCACTCTACATCATCTATACTGTAAACAACACCACCTAAATAAACTTATAGTACAGAACAATTAAGTTATGTGCTTGTTGCTTTCGAAATTAGGCTCTGCATATTGTAAAGACCGATAAATAATATTTATTGTAAGGAATTAAGATTAAAGAATTTTTTACCTATCCTTCAACTCCCTTCCAAACAGATTGGTGATCTCCATCAAAGCGTTCCGCCATGTTTGCACGTTTTCTATATGGTCCGCAAACACTTTTTGATGTTGACCAATAGCTACCTCCAACTTTGTTATTACCAGGGATGGATTCACATCATAGAAAATTGGAATGACTGATTGTCCCCTTGTGTTTTTACATTCCACAATTTTCACAAGTTCATCCAAGCACCAGGGTGAAGAAACATAATTTTTTGAGAATACAACAATTGAAATTCTTGATTCTTCTATTGCATTAACAAGTTCTGGTAAAATGGGTTTTCCTATCTCAAGTTCTAGATTATCCTTGAATACCTTAATTCCCTCTCGAATCAAATGACCATATAGATGATTTGTAAAGTTGTTTCGAGTATCTATACCTCTGAAGTTTAGAAAGACATCATGTTTCGCACTAGTGGATGAAGAAACTCTTTGTATTCTCATGGTGCTGGAAAAAAGTTGAAAAAAAATATAAAAGTGGTAAGATAATTGTGGATTGTACCCACTCAACTCTCTGAGTGTCTCCAACTTCATCAGAAGTTTCTCTACACAGAAATTAACTCCAGCTACTAATTTTTTGAGATTCATAAATTTTGAAGTTGAACCGCTTAATTTACTTGATATTTCCTTCACAACACCTTCGATATATTTTTCTTCAGGACTGCAAAACAATCAATTAAAATTCATTATATTAATTATATTTACAGTTATCAATAACAATACTACACTGTAAAGAACAATACCTATATAAAGTTAATAGTAAAGAAGAATAAAGTTATGCTTGTTGCTTTGGAAATTAGGCTCTGCATAGTGTAAAGAGCAGTAAATAATATTTACCTGTCCTTCAAGTGAAATCCAGAGATATTGGACACCTCTTTTAAAGTCTTCCTCCACATTTGCACTTTCTCCATATCCACTTCAAAACGTACATCATGATCATCAAATGCTTCATGAAAAACTCCTATTTGATATCTTGGGTCGTCTGGCTCCAGATAATAGAAAATGGGAATGACTGTTTGTCCCATTGTCTTGTTGCATTCAAGAATCTTATTAAGTTCATCCAAACATTGGATAGAAGAAGCATAGCTTTTAGAGAAAACAACAATAAAAATTCTTGATTCTTCAATTGTTTTGTCTAGTTCCAATGAAATGGGCATTTCTCTTTCAAATTCTTTGTCACCCTTAAAAACTTTAAATCCTTTCCGATCCAAAGCAGCATATAAATTCTCTGTGAAGTTCTTGCCTGTGTCTTCATTGTGAAAGTTTATAAATACATCATATTTCCAACTAGCGGAAGAAGAAGAACCATATGAAGGAACTCTCAGGTAGCTCATGTTAAACAATTAATTTTGAATCAACTAGCTTCTTTTGGAGCAAGTTCTGTCTATGCAACCAATTTCCTCCTGTGTAAAGATAAATTCCTACANTCCAGAAGTACTTTATAGATGATAGCTGAAAGTAATTTCACCGAGAATTGAAACTCAAGGAGCACTTTGGTTCTCTTTCTTTTTGTTCTTCTCTTGTTTTTACCTTAAATCAATTTTAGTTTCGCAAAAACTAACCCAATATCTATACTGATATACAGATATAACACTAAATGTGGAAAAACAAATGTGTGCATGAACAGTTAGGCAAACAGAAGAGTAAACGACATTGTTTGCGATGCAATGATACAAAAGATTTAACAGTCATTCTGCTTTTTAAAAAAAAGGCAGTATATATTTCTTCGTGATGAGCAGTACAAAATATCTGTTGACCTCAATTTCTACACCACTTCCAAATATCTGTCAGCTAACACATAAAACAATTCATATGCTTCTTTTTTATCTATGAGATACCAATTGCTTATTTGTTACTGTGCCAATTAAAGTAAAAACAAAAGTAGAAAGAAATCTCACTGGTCATATTCAATATAATCAGACCTCGTGTTTAGAATTAACAATGAAATGTAAAACCCATCCAAATAACACGTTGCATATCATAATGACTCACCTGAAGATTTCTCACTTGATATGGGCAGCCAGCAGGGACAAATACAGCTTGCCCCAAATGCTGTTCAAACGACCATGGCTCAACTCCTGACAGAGAAAATGAACTGTTAGCATTGATCCAATTCATCAATGTGTTATTGATTAACCATTCAAGAAAACCAAAATGGATTCAAAGCTCACTGAGATGCATATTCACAATTCTTCCCAGCTCATGAAATATTTTTAACAAAAAAGTTTTACTCACCAAATTCTTCCTTCAATTTTCTTTTATGATCCCCATTCAGGTATATTTTTTCATCATAAAGAGGACGTGTCACCTGAGATCCAAACAATAGAATCAGTAACTCAAGGTTATATAATCCAACCATTTATGCTCAATAAAAAGGATTTATTTCTAAGGAATGAAACTTACGAAATCCTTTATATCATCACCAGGCTCCCCAAAATCGTCCCAGTGTTCTTGCAAATACTTGGTTAACTTTGGAACATCCTGCCGACGGAAGATATCCCAATGTGCTCCTGGAAGACTCTTTTCGGACTTATCTCCATTATCTCTATTTAACTGTTCAGAATTAACAGCTTTCTCTTCATTAGTAGCAGGTTCAATCCCTTGATCTTCCATTACCTCATCCTCATCTTCAGCAGACTTTTCCCCACATTCATTCTTCACATCATCTCCACCAAGTGATAAATCAGGTAACTTTCCTTCATCCAAACTCTTTTCAGGATTGTCAGTTGGCTCATTCACTTCAGATTCTGAGGCAGAACTTTGAATCTTCTCAGCTTCTGCTTTCTTCTGCTTCACTTCGCACGTATGTACCAATAAATATACCTGATAATAGTTTAGCAAATATCAGCAATTTTATTTTATCACTACGTTAAGTCACTGTAGGGAAGAATATATTATAGAAAGAAACAAAGTATCGTATTCTCCTAAGCCCTACAAGTTTGACACCAGTGGGATTTCTATGTAAGAACCCAATCAAACTCAATTACTCGTATCAATATAAGATAGACTTTCATATAAGTTTTAAATGTGATATCAGGTATTAATACATTGATAAATAGCAAGCACAAGGTAAGATTTGAAAACTTCAAATGGCGCAACCCGACTTTGAATTCAATTTCTTTTAGTCCACGCCAAGAATTCGAGCCTGATATTGTACCGATTAAATAAGAATCAAATATTCTCAAATCATCTTTGGTCAAGAAACTAATTATGGAATTACAAGTTATAAATTCATCATCTTCTCCAATGATAAATAGAGAAAAATAGCTCTTAAAAGTCAACTGATCATAGGTCAGCAAGAAAGCAGAATGTGTAACGTACCATGTCACGCATATTGAAGTGAAGGTTGGTCACTGAATCACCTCTACCAAGTTCCTCATTAGTCCCATAAGACATATAAATCTTAGGTCCTACATCGTTTTGCAAGGAATAATGAGGCAGTTTTGCAGCAACGTTTAGAAAACCCAACCGAGAATGAATATACTCAAGTAAAGGCAGTTTACTGATAAATTCAGGTTTATGATACAATAAAAATTCTTCAGAAGCACTGGAAGAAGGCCAATCCTTCAATTTCAACATTTCTGGCAGACCGTCCTCACGAAATCGTCCCTCTGAGTACCCATTGATGAACTGACTAAGTTCAATATCAACCTGCCCAAAAGTGAAAACCACATATCACAGATATTAGTTGCAAGCAGGAAATAATTTCAAGAAATATAGAGGAATACCAGGATGAAAGAAGAATCATAAACATAAATATAAGTAATAGCAACGAAAGCCCACCTCAGACCAGTCTAAGCAATCTATAGCCTTCACTGTTCTGTTCTCATCTTTTGTCTTCTCATCTGCTGTCTCCCGAATCCCCCTCCATATTTCCTTTGGGTCCCAGATTGACATGGATGACCTGTCACATACCTGCTTAACAATAACAGGTTCACCCTTGACCCAGTGTTTTCTAAAATTGCCAATCCCTTCAGTTTTAGTATCTTCAAATGATGGGCAGTACAAGAAATTATCCTCTTCGTCCTCTCTGTGAGCACACTGGAAGAGTCTTGGATTGTTCGACCCAGTTATTTGTAGAGTTCCAGCATCATGAACCTTACAACCGCTAACCATTTCCTCCACATTTTTCACTAGTTTTGCAACCCAATTCATTTTAAATATTCGGCTTAGGTTCAATGATCGATGACCACAGCCACCATACTCCTTGGAGGGGCATGGAATACTGCCATCACTGTTGGCTTTCCAGCCAGGGAACCTATCAGATAAATTTAATCTCAGTTTGGATATTTTAACTTGCTCTGACACAGTTTCTGAGTCTTGATTTCTCCCAGTAGCATGATTTTCTCCTTCACTATCACTCCTAGATGGTCCTCGAAGATCTTGACAGCAACTAAGGCACAGATCTAACAAGCAATTTGCACAATGGCGGTGATAATCAATGATGGGTATTCTACAGAAGTTGCTGCAAGAAAACAAATAATGATGAACTGCAATACTTAACAGTTTAAATTGAATCAAAAGCCAACTATTTTTTACTATTGGACAATTTTACAACCTCCTATTAAAAAATTCCAAGGAAAAAAGACATAAGATATTAATCAGTAGAATAATTTCTTCCTTCAATTTTGTAATTGATGTAGATCACCAAACACCATACACAATGGGATCTATGTATTTATGACAACAAGATCATGCTCTTGGATTGGAATCCTTAATATATTAATGTTTAAGACTCTAATCATACGTAAAACAAATGGCACCAATAAAAAATATCTTTAAAGTTCCGAAAGTTGTACCAGCACATCTGTTCATCTGCATTCAATTTTGTCCTGACAAGATCTATGTCATTGCCTGGAAAAATAATTGCAAATGTCACATGCATACATGTTATATTCTGAAAATTTGAACAAGAAAAGCCTTTTTACCACGAAATTTTTTTTCCAGTTCTACTTCATAGCACTGTATTTGATGGATCTGTTTAATCACAGGAAGCACAGCAGACAAAAGGGAATAGAGATATTGCAACTTGTCCAGGACAGGTATTTCCCGTATCCTTACCTGCAACTCAGTCAAAAAGATACTTTCCTTCAATTAGACTATTATACGTCTTATCAAAAAATTAGACAATCATAGCAAACAAAATCAGCACTCCTTATGAGAAGATAACATGAAACTGAATAATACAGTTACAAGGAACCTTTTGCTCACGAATGAAATACCTTAACCATATTATCCCCACGTAAGCATGCCTTGCAATTACAAGAACCACGACACGCAGGACAGGCCTTCTGAATTTCTTCCAATGGGATCTCTGAGTACCTGAGAAGTTAAACATAAATACTCAATATGCTAGTAAATTTGTAATATATGTATGTCTATCTAGAGACTCGGCCTCACCATGTTGAGATACAGTTATCACAATATCCTCTCTTATCACATTTTTGGCACCAAATAACTCTATCTCTATCATTCCTCCGGCACTGATGGCAAATCTGTCCACCGGTATCTTCAGAAGAATTCATGCTTCCATCAGAATATTCCTGCATAACTTGTCCATCTACAATCAGTGATGTAATATGGGAAAAATGGGAACCAAAAGAGTAATTAAGGATAATCATTCCAACAGAAAATACCCTTTACTTAATACAGTTTTCTACAGCAGGAACAATCCTCTTGAGTAATGCAACTTTAATTTGAAGCTAATCAATTTATGCTACTTTCTTGAAGCAAACCCTTACATTATTTTCCTCCAGTTATGTTGTGTGTGTTTATATTTGAAATAAACATATGTATACTTATTTATATATCGATGTGACAAAATCCATAACAACAAACCAGGAAAAATACTGACACATTGTGCTAAATACAATGTAATTTGACTCACCATCATTGTACTAGCGTCAGTACTCTTCTGAGATCTATTTCTGGAAGAGTCCATGGCAGAATGAGGTGGTGTCTTATAAGACCTCAAATTCTCGTCAAATTCTACAACATCTCGTTGCGAATCGTCATTTGCCTTCAGAGAATTACGTGCTGACAAGCTCCTTGTAGGAGGTGTTTCAGGTGAATATCGAAAATGGCTTTTTGATACCTTCTCCATATATTTCTTCCCAGACACCGGAGGATAGTCACCACCTTTCATGCTCACAATTGGCATGTCATAATCATCACTTTTACTCTCCAAGTATATGTCACTTTCACCTACAGATTTCCTTTTTGCTTTCTTCAGACTAGCCCTTAATGCAGAATTTGCAGCCCTCCTCTTTGCCTGGATATAATGTTTTTCACACACAGTTTTATCCGGCATAGACATTGCAGTGCATCTCCACTGTTTCCCATCTGACCTCTTGCACCGCAAATCATCCGGAATCCCAACATTGTCTTCACCATTCCCTGAACTTGACCGTGGATGATCCATCAACAAAATTCAACAGTAATACAACATTCACAGCTGTATTCTCATGAAACCAACCTGCACTCAAGATTAATGAAAACAACCAAAATGTTCATCCATAATCACACCATTACACATCAAGCTACTAAGGATACAAAAACAATCACACATTAACATTAACTTGGTCCAGAAACCATAGTATATTATATAGTTGAACTATCAATATAACTAATTTTCTTTACAAGAAAAAAAACACAAATAACAATTTAAAAAAGAATAAAATACAAAACAAAATTTGGCACTCCAGAAACCCAAATTTTCTCACAGAAGTTGCATTTAGTAAAGCATCATGCAAAATAATACGGAAACGAATTGAGCTACTAAGAACAACAAAATATTTACACACATTAACATTAACTCGGTTCAAGAAGCAATCTATACAATTATATCCAATTTTCAATACTAAGGTTTCGCTGACCATAATTTCCACAAAGCTAAGATACCAAATTCCAAGACAGTAGAAGTATCAGATTTACTAGTTTCCTCCAAAGAACCCACCCCAGAACAAAAACAAAATTTAAAACCTAAAAACCCGAATTTTTCAAATGCTACACAATTACTAAACAAAAGAAGCGAACTTTTGTCAAGAATCCAAGAATTGAAGAGATGGGTTTGCAAGAGTAACAAAAATTGACAGAATGCGAATGTAGTAAAAACAGAAATATTCAATTATACCCGCAAAAATATTAACAAAAAGAAATATACCTTGGACGAGGGTTTGTCAAGTCTCCCAGAACAACACAAACAATATGATGAGATTAACTTCCCAGAGCCGTAATTTAATGCAAGGCAAGGCTTCACTATGTCGAAAGGTTTTGATTTTGTTCTTTATTGTTTTTTTTTTTTTTTTTTTTTTTTTTTTTTTTTCCTTTAAGACTACTGGGAAGTGTGAACTTCAACAGACCGGACTCTAGACCCAGAGCTTAACCTGTTACCTCGGCCGTACCGAGCAAAAACTGTTACCTGAATAAACGGTTTTTTTTTTTTTTAAAGGTAAAATAAATTATATATTATAGATATATATATAACCAGACCAATTTATACGTACTTTAATTAATATTCAGGGTCTATTAAATACCCTATTAATCAAATAAATTAAATAATTCACAAATATGATAAATGATCACATTATGGAATTCGAATACAAGAATTCTAAATAACTCATCTAAATAACTAATTTTTTATATATTTCACTATCTGATAATGGTTTTTTTTTGTTTTATTGTGGGATACATTTTTTTTTTATAAATTTTATAAAGATTCGATTAAAAATAAGAATTTCTTAGAATTTAATGAATATTTAATGCAAGCAATGTTTGAGTCTTATATTTTTAAGTTTATTTTTTAAATTAAATTTAAAAATTTAAATCAACCCTTGTATTCCTAAAAAAAAAAAAAAAATTGTATATGAACTAATTACGTAAAACCAACTTATCATCACGTTTTACTTAAATATGTAACATACATTTGTCTCATAATTAATAGATTAATAACACACTATGACATTGTAAATGTTCTCACTATCGTATGCATAATAATTTGCAATAGATAAGCCGATAAGGGTTTCACCGGTGTTGATATTTTGACGCTCACATCGGTTTACTAGAAATGTAACTTAGGTTAGACCTTGGAAGGATTAACTTGAGTAAACTTGGATGTAGAATAGGGTTATTCAAGTTAGGTCTAAAAAACTATATAGCGATGACAACGGGCCGGGCCAGGACTGGGTACCTCGGAACCCAGACCCAAGCCTGACCTCATGACAAAGGTCCAAGCCCGGTCCGGGCCCGTCACGGGTATGACATTTAAAGCTCAAGCCTGGTTCGACGGGCTTTTTGTAACCTCAGGCCCGACCCAAGCTTGTCCATTTTTATAATGTGAATTTTTAAATATTAATAAATTACAATTTTTTTTTATATTTTTAATTATAGAAACAACTTTTAAATATTAATTTATTTTTGAATACTTACCAAATATATAAATGACTTTCCACAAAGTGCATTAATCTATCCATGTAGGGTTTGGGAAAAATGAGTATATGTATGTAAGATAATCTTGTAGTTAAATATATAGTATAAGGGTAATTTAGTATAATTAATACTAAAATTGTCAAGTCGGATCGGGCTTGAAGACATACCCAGGCCCGACCTGGCCCGTACCAGAGATCGAGCCTTAAAATTAAGTCCAGGCCCAAGCCCGAGCCCAACCTCACGAACATCGGGTAAAGCCTGACCTTTTCTGATTGGGTACCCGAAAATATCGAACCCATTGCCATCTCTAAAACTAGACACGTTAACTATGCCAGAAAGGAATGTTGCGTGAATCTAGGCTCCGTTTGATTCACTTTTTTGTATTTTTTAAAAAAATTTTTTTAAAAAAAGTTAAAAAAAGTTGAATTGGGCGGGTATTACGATGTAGGATTTGAAAATTAATGAAAATAGCCCATATGTTTGTTTATTTACTAAACACCCCTATAATAAAACTTTAAAAGTTAACAAAAACACCCCTAACCCAGCCATTGAATAATCACAGTCAGCCACCACCGCCGGAGGGTGGCCGGAGTCTCCGTATCGACGCATGACCTGCTGGATCTTGCCGGTTGTGTGCCGATATGGCCTTTGCCGGCCAGATCCACAGTAGATCTGGCTAGCAAAGGCCAGATCTGGCCGCATTTGCTCGTCAATGACGGCCAAAGATACGGCCGTCGTTGATGGTCAACGACGACCATATGTTGGCCATTGTCGACGTCTAGTTACAGCCAAAGATCTGACTGTTGAAAAGGCCAGATCGGCGCACTACCGGCTACATTCAGCCGGTAGTGCACCATTATATCAGATTCCGGCCAACTTCTGGTAGTGGTGGCCGGAATCTGGTATAATGTGGGTTTATGAGTGTTTTTTGTAATTTCAAAAAAAAATTAGGGATATTTAATTAAATTAACAAATTTAGGGGTTTAAAAAAAGTTAAATAATATTAGATAATATTGTGAGTTTTTGGACATTTTACTGTTTAATTTTTTTGGAAATACTAATAATAGTATTCCCAAAAACCAACCAAATGGAGCCCTAGTATTTGTTACTAAGTTTTCTCTTATCTGAATTCTCTAAATTCTATGTGTATTTACTTTTTATTGGATTTAGAAGAGTATTTATGACATATTATATTTTTTATAGGATATCTTGATCCAACCAAATTATTGAATTATAATTTCAATAATAAAAATGGCCACGGTACAAGTTTATAGCAAACAGATATAAACTTTTTGGATGGACAAAAACATCTTTATCAAAATTACAATAAAAATTAGTGTTTAAATAATTAACTCCGAGTTGAAACCTAATAAAGTGGGCAGGTTCAGGTTGACTAGTATTCAAAAGTTTGAACTATAACAAAAAAAAAGCCCTAAAATTACATATAAGTCTCAACAATTTTGAAATCTTGCAAAAACATCCCAAACCCCACTATTGGCGTCGACAAACCAGGGCAAATAGGGTCTATTTCCGCTGACAACAACACTCCCCTCAACCTCTTGACCAAAACCTATATCACCCCTCCTCCTATTGCCTTGCCAATCGACGGCAATAGCAATTGTAGTTGCTAATTTTGTTTTGCGAATTTCGATTGACTCACTCATCGAAAATCACCTTAGTTGCCATCATTGCACTCACTGATCCTTCCTCTTCAAAACCCTAACATTCCGGCCTTCAATTGTTTGCCAGTCATTGTCCCAATTTCTAGGGTTTTCAGTAAATAGAAAAATTGTTAACTTGACCCGATGAAGGGCCTGGGTCTCAATCCAATCGGCCGGGCTAGGCCAAGTTTTGAAAGAAATAAAAAATAATTGACACATGCCAAACCATATTATATAATGTATAATCGATGCTTAATATACACTCCAAATGTTATCTAGGGGTGTGCAAGTGTCATGTTTAATTAGTGGCCAAACTACATAGTTAAATTTCGGTTCAATTTGGTTACTAATTACTTCTATCATACAACCCAACTATGTCATACGGTTCGATTGGGTACGATGTTGATGTGGGTTTCGGTACATTTGATGTGGGTTTCGGTACATAGTTCAGCTTCGATTCGATTTGGTTACTAATTACTTCTATCATACACCCCAACTAAGTCATATGGTTCGCTTGGGTACGGTGTTGATGTGGGATTCGGTGGGTTTGCACACCCATCATCATCGACAAAATAGAGGTGTGCATAAAGGGTACTTTTGTCCTTCCATACATTATTGGATAGTTTTACAAAATAGGCTATTTTTGAAAAAAAAAAAAGAAAGAGAAAATGACCATTTAACCAAACTGTCAACAGTATTAGTACTGTTAAACAAATCCCAAAATACAAACTCCATTACCTGACTATTACCACCACCGAACGTGCCCGTATATAAACTCAGCGCATCGATTCAACAAACGAACAACTTATCATTTAATAATATATTAATCGTCTTCAAATTCACTCAATTCTCCGCTTCGATTTGATCGGGAGAAGCCGGACAGCGACATGTCAATGGCGAGGGTGAGCTCAGGCCTCGCGTATCCAGAACGTTTTTACGCTGCGGCGTCGTACGCTGGCTTCGATGGATCTCCTAATTCCGCCGCCAAAGGTCTCACCTCGAAGTTCTCGAACGACAGCGCTTTGCTCCTCTACGCCTTGTATCAGCAGGTGCTACATAGTTATTTACATTTCTCATTTCGATTTATTGTCATGACTGGATCCAATGCTTTTATCGGTTTTTTTGACGTGGCGCGCTCTCATTGCTGCTGATTTGTGATCATATTTGAGTTTGTCTGGTGATTTTGATTGTTAATCATGGTTAATACGTGGCGCTTGTCCGAACTTAGATTTTGGAATCATGTTCGTGGATTTTGCTGATTGTTTGTTTTTTGAAGTGAAATTTGTGTGTTTTGAGTGTAATTTAGTTAGATCTGATCTTATGAATTGAGAGTCAGTAAGTGGAAATGTAAGATCTGCTGGCCTTTTTGGTTTACAAGAAAAATCTAGAGAAAGTGGCATTACTTTGTAACAATTGCGCCATGTTCACTTAAATCCAGCAACGTTACTAGTATAACGTCTCACGCTTGTATTGTATAACATCGAAGTAGAGACATTTGATATTAATTTGTAACAAATGCGTGTTACCAGAACATATAGATTCAAAATTGTGTAATATTGAACTAATATGTGGTAAGTTGATATGTTTACAGGTTGGTCTGTTTAGATTTCGACATTTTGAATGTTTCCGTGCTGACATGGCATTTAATTTTCTTGCAGGCTACAGTAGGACCTTGTAACATTCCGAAACCTAGCTCATGGAGTCCTGTGGAACAAAGCAAATGGAAAAGGTTAGTTTATTGTAACGTATGGGGTATTCAGCTTTTGGTAGTTGCATTGAGAGTGGATTCCTGCTAATGGCAGAGTAAAATATACTTGGTGGGTAGTGTAGTGCAGTTTTTATTCTTGAAGTGCATTTGCTGCACTGTTATAACTCTTTGTTATTTTGAATCCTTTATGTCAATGGGGTAGACTGCGTAGAAGGAAATTTTTTTTTTTTTTTGGTTGGGGTTAGAATAGGGTTTAGATAATTTCGTTTAACTGTTTTTTTTTTTTTTTTTTTAACTTTCATATATGTATCAATGTGCATTTATTCATTTTATGTATTTTCTTGAAATATTTCTATTTAAGCTATTGCTTGCTGTTTAGTTGAGTTGAATACCCTATTAGATATTTGCATTGTCATGCATTTCCTGATATTGTGTTGAGTTTGTTCTCTAAAGCTTTTCATTTTGTGTGCAGCTGGCAAGGACTTGGAAACATGGCTGCCACAGAGGCAATGCGTCTCTTTGTAAAAATATTGGAGGTTATTCCATTATAATTCTCGTGATCATATCTATATATTTGCTTCATAGCCTTAGCTAATGCCTTTAGTTTCTTTTTAATCTTCAATTGAGCAGGAGGAAGATCCAGGTTGGTATTCAAGGGCATCTAACTTTGTTGCTGAGGCTGTTGTAGATGTGCCGATGAATGTAAGTGCATGAGAAATTAATATGACTGCTAATTCACTTCTTTCTTTAAATTAGCAATGGATTATCACTAGTTGTGAGTATTATTTTCTACATTTTTATATGATTAACATCTTTACCAGTAATTAAATTAGTGAGGGTGGTGGAATGTACATTCATATTGCATCGACTGAATCCGTGTTTGTCTAATTTGACTTTTGGTCTTGTAGCTGGTTTTGATGAGTATGCAGTTCTCGTTCTCTTTTCTTTCTGTTTGAAATTTCTTTAATTTATCCATAGTTCAGATTGGAATGGAAAACTGAAGAAACTGAACAATTGATCCATAGTACTAGAAGATTTTATTCAGTTATTTTCTCTTTGATGTCAAATATAATGGTGTATATTTTTATTTTTTAGCATAATTCAAAATTTGAGCCTGTCATGGAGAACGGGACTTTGTCTCCCGAGACTAAGACTATTTCCACTGAAAATGGGAGCCTGATGGAAACTGAGGATAAAGATGTAGTCTCAGAAGGCCTTGGTTCAGTTGCTGTCTACGATCAATGGATTGCACCTCCAATATCTGGGCAACGTCCCAAAGCTCGATATGAGGTATTGGAATTTTTTTTTTTTAAATAGTACTTCTATTGTTTCATGATCCTTTCTTCCTCTCAATCATTGTTTTCCCCCCTGACTGAAGCCTTCTTCTATCTTTCAGCATGGGGCTGCAATTGTTCAAGACAAGATGTATATATACGGTGGAAACCATAATGGTCGTTACCTAAATGATCTTCATGTAAGAGCATCATTTGCACAAACATGTAAACATGCATGTTCCACATAAATTTTACGTACAAAATTCTGTATAGGACTGCTGGCAGGAATGCCTATGCATTTGCTAATGTAAACTAGATCACAACTTTTTTATACATATGATCTTATTCTTGTTCCTTTGCTGGAGAAATTTGAATATTTCTCTTTTGCATTTATGGTCTTTTTTCTTAATATGTATATATCTCTTCTGGCTACTCTTGCATAGAAATAGATTAAGTAGTTTTTTCTTCATCTGGTGATCAATGCAGGTTCTGGATCTGAGAAGTTGGACCTGGTCAAAGGTTGAGGCTAAGGCTGGGGCTGAGTCACCAAATCCAGTGACATTAACCCCGTGTGCTGGTCATTCCTTGGTTAGTATAGTATGGAGTATCTTTTCATTCTCTGTCACTGCTGTGGCGATGTTCTCTGACAAACATATGCCCATTTTCATAATATCCATTTGCCGAAAGTATTTTGCTGATGTTGAATATTCTATTATTATCAAATGTTTCCTCTAGATATCATGGGAGAATAAGCTTCTGTCAATTGCTGGCCATACAAAGGATCCTTCTGAAACGATTCAAGGTACATTTTACTATTATGTCATCATTACTTGATTTCTGATTTGGTTTGTATCACTATTGTGGTATGAAACAATTCAAGTTACATTTTACTATGATGTCACCATTACTTGGTTTCTTATTTGGTTTGTATCACTATTGTGCTATATATGGCTCTTTAGAAATGTCAAAAAATTGTGGAATTATAAGTTGGATACAATTGTTTATGTTCTTGGGAAAATAGTTTAATAACTAATGAACTAATTTTCATTCTCATGGCAGTGAAGGTGTTTGATCTACAAACTTGTTCTTGGTCAACCCTAAAGACTTATGGAAAACCACCGGTATTTATCTGTTCTTTCTCTTTATCTTTTTTTTTTCCTTTTACAAACACATAATACATGTAGCTTCTGGTATCTGGCTATGGCTGAGATAGTTGCTTACCAGTAGGACTGTTTCAGAATTGATTATGTCCTTAAAGCAATTGAAACCAAAATCTTAGTTCCAATATCTTTCCAAGTTGTGAAAATATGCTTTTGAATCAAATAGGTGTATTTTAATTGGGCAGTACTCCTTGTTATCATTCTAATATCATCTCTTGATTATTTGGACTTAAAGATGATTAATCATTAACATGAGCTTTGATATTGTTTCAATTTCCCTGGTTATTACTCTTCATGTGAATGTTCCTTTATTTATGCATTTCAGGTCTCTCGTGGAGGTCAATCTGTGACCCTTGTTGGATCTAGCTTAGTGATTTTCGGGGGTCAGGATGCAAAGAGATCGCTCTTGAATGATCTGCACATACTTGATCTTGAAACCATGACGTGGGATGAAGTTGATGCTGTGTAAGATAACTCTTCACAATTTCAGTATCAGCTTTCTACTATTATTCTCATTTGGTTAAGTAAGCATTAGTGTTCAATCAGACTTTTTTCCAGTTAATAACTAAATATCATACTAAATCAGATCAAATTGTTGAATTTGTACCTAGTTCTTAGGATTTGGTCATAACAACAGTTGAATACTAGATGTATTTCAGCCGATTTATGAAGAGGTTCAAATTTAATTGAAATTGTTCAGTGTTTAAAATTCATCATAGATCATAATTCATATGTAGTCTGCATTTATGGATCTGAGTAAAATAATTTTTTATTGCATAATCTGGATTTAAAGTTGAATTCTAGTTCGTATTGTTTGAAGCAAACTTGGTTTCTACTAGATTGGGACGGAATCGAAAACGTTTATAGCCATCTCCATCAAACAGAGAAGCAGCATATTTCAACCTGATATTGATTTTTTGTTCAAGAAATGCCCTGTTTCCAGTTATGCTGGAACAGAGTGATTCTGAGTTTGTGTATAGATTTACTGTTGTCATTAATTTATCCTCGTTATTTTATAGGGGTGTGCCTCCTTCTCCGAGGTCTGACCATGCTGCTGCGGTGCATGCAGAACGTTACCTTCTTATCTTTGGCGGGGGCTCACATGCTACTTGTTTCAATGATCTGCATGTTCTTGATTTACAAACTGTAAGATAACCATTGGTGTATCTACTGATATCGTCATCTGATTGACTTATTTTCTAATATCTTCTCTACATTTGCATTTATAGATGGAGTGGTCAAGACCTACTCAACAAGGTGAGATACCAACTGCACGGGCTGGACATGCTGGTGTAACAGTTGGAGAAAATTGGTTCATTGTTGGTGGTGGTGACAATAAGAGTGGTATGTGTTCTACAACTTTAGCATTCGGATATAAACTTGTGTTCTCACTTATCCTTGAGAGTAACTTTTGTAATCTTCGTGGCATGCTTTCGGAAAGCATTTGAATGAAGAAAAACATAAAGATTGATTTTGACATTTTGCAAGAGACTGCATGTCAGGATTAAAATTATTTGATGGAAGCTTGTGCTCAATGTCTTTAATCTCACGGTAAAATTTTGAATCCAATGTATGCAAGTATTGACTGGCAGTGGAGGGGATCTAAGCTGCATATGATTGAACACATAGGATGCTTGAGCATTAAAATAGCAGTTAGTCAACTGTAATCAGATTAAGGTTATCCCATTCTGCCTTTTTTTGTCAATAGAAATCCCTTTGTTGAGGCTGGCTATTGCATAATTTTTTATTTTTTAATATCAAAGAGAGGGTGGGGTGAATGACAGCTGCAATATAGTTTTCAGGAGTAAAACTGATGCAAATAATTGCATGGTTGGAAGTTTTTTCTAAATGCTTGAAATTACTTGTACCAAGTATGGAGGTTCTGAGATGGTTTGGCATAGCATTTGCATCATTGTGTTTTGTATTGACTTTTAACTGATAAAAGAGACCATAGAACTATTGATTTACTTTTTCTTTCTAGAGTAAAATTGGTGTATATTTTTAAAGAATAGAGCTAGTACCTTATGCCATATTCTTTTGGGATGTCAGGTATTTGGATTTTTTTCAGGAGCCCTGTTGATTATATTTAAAACCTGTTGTTTTGAATATCTTCTCTAAAAGATCAGGAAAAAAACACCATGTTTTGTTAGGACTGCTCATGTTGTCCTTGTCCCATATAATCGGTATATTTTTGTTTCCTTGAACATTATGCAGGGGTCTCAGAAACTGTTGTCCTCAACATGTCTACCCTTGTTTGGTCAGTTGTAACTTCTGTTCAAGGACGTGTTCCTCTTGCTAGTGAGGTATTCTCTTGGGAACATTTGCTAGTTGTGATTGATATATGGTTAAACTCGGTCTGTAAGAAGTTAAGTTGTGTTCTCATTCAGATAAAGATTTAGGATGCTTCTTTTTCAAAAAGCTGATTGACATTGATTAATAAGTTACAAGGATGCATATAAATGAAATGGGAATGGCAAGCTTAAAAATTCTTGTGGTGTTTGAGGTCCTCTTAGGCTATCATATGACAACATTGTCATTATTGTAATACTTTTAGTGCATTTTATTGTTTTTGTTGTATCATCATTAACTTCTCATTTGTAATTGGAGAATTGCTACCATTTACTTCTAACAGTTCTAACAACTATTGGGTATGGATGTAAAAACTATGCTATATTTTGAAATTTTCTATTTAGAAAATAACATTTTCTTTTCAATCTCTGTTAAATTAATTTTGTTGTTAGTGTCTTGCTAATGTTTCAAAATTAAATCATATTTGTTGTCATTTTTGCGAGCATTTTGGTATCTTGACATTATGGTAATGCAAGATCTTTGGCTAAAAGATTATTGATGATTAATTCCTATTGCAGGGCTTGAGTTTGGCTGTCAGCTCCTATGGTGGTGAGGATGTTCTTGTTTCTTTTGGAGGATACAATGGACGTTACAACAGTGAGGTAAAGGGTAAAATTAGTGACTTTGCATGTAGCTTCATCTCCTTCTATGACAAGTTTCTTATTCTGATTTTGTGTTGCTGTTAGGTTCATGTTCTTAAACCTAGCCACAAATCAACTTTGCCATCGAAGATGATAGAGACTCCTATTCCTGACAGTGTTTCTGCTGTTCATAATGTTACAAATGCAACCAGAGATGTAGAGTCTGAATCTGAAGGTGGTCAAGAAGGAAAAATAAGAGAAATTGTTATGGATAATGTTGACTCAGAGCTATCGGTATGTAGTTTTTGAAAACTGCAACATTTTAAACAGATTGCAAATATGTTCGTCCATTGAAATTCTGCAATTTAAAATCTCCATCATTGATTTTGACATGCAAAATATATTAATTTAGACATTTAAATCCATGTCTGCATGTTGTGTGTTTGTTGTCATTTCTACAATGCATATGTTGCGTAGTACTGTTGGAGTGACTAAATCTTTTATTATCTTCACATCATTCTTGGTTGAGTAGTACCTGTTGGTCAATCAGGATAATTTTCTTTGGAATGTAGTCTTAAATAATGTTGGAGAATTAATTGGCTTTTGAAATCTGCTTATCAAGTCTTCAAACAGCAAAGTGATTGCCAAATGATTCTTTTATGTGGATTATTTGCGAAGCAATTATGCTAATTGATTTTATTATTGTGAAACTATGTCAACTTTTTTGACTGCCAAATTTCTATATGTTTGTATTTTCTCTTTTCACTGAATATACGACTTTCATGCAGAAATCAAAGGGTGCACAAAGTACTGAACCTCTTATAGCAACCCTCAAGGCAGAGAAAGAAGAACTGGAATCATCACTGAGCAATGAGAAGTTGCAATCTATCCAGCTAAAGCAAGAATTAACAGAAGCTGAGAGTCGGAACACAGACCTTTACAAGGTAATCACTTGATATGTGTATTTGCCCGTTATGTAGTTTCATTCTTGTACTGCTGTACATTTTCTATTTATTTTGTAAAAAATTAAGATTGGCAATATTTTAACTCTATGGGAGGTATTTTGTTAGTTAAAAAAGGATTGTCTATAGGGTTTCCAACAATATCTTCATGTCCTTAAAATTTTATGGAATACTGTTTGTTTTAGAAAGAAAAATGGGAGGTTTCCTCCCTGACATGAAGTTTCAAAAACTTGTTCCATGATGTACAGAAAATTAAGCTTTTGGCAGCTCTCTTAAAATAAATTTGTTAATTTACCTCTGATTCAGAAACTAGTTACATAGTTTAATACATGGTAGATAATCCACACCTCTGTTGCAACATAGAATATTATCATACATTTTGTTTTGTTGCTTGTACAAAATTGTTCCATGGCTTGTAAAATAGACTCTTTTTTCTTTTCCTGAAATGATTTAAGGCCCATAGTTTTATTTATTATTTTTCATATTGTAGGAGCTCCAATCTGTTCGTGGTCAACTCGCTGCTGAGCAATCAAGATGTTTCAAACTAGAGGTATGCCCACCTGATGTGTTGTATCACAGTCTTAATGCACTCTGCAGAAATTTGGTGCAAAATGGAACTTCGCATGCTGTAAGCGATGGGATTCTTGTAGTTAACTAATTAATGTCTGAACTGATAGGTTGACGTGGCTGAACTAAGACAGAAGTTACAAACAATGGAGGCATTGCAAAAAGAACTCGAACTCCTGCAGCGCCAAAAGGCTGCTTCTGAACAAGCGGCCTTAAATGCAAAGCAGAAGCAGAGCTCAGGCGGTGTGTGGGGTTGGCTCGCCGGAAACCCCTCTCCTAACCAAAAAACCGATGATGCTTAAAACTTGTAAAAAGTCTTGAGCTGAGTAGTGATTGCTAGATTCGATTCTCATCCATCAATTTTTCACAAATTTTTTTTTTTCGTTTTACCCGACCTGGTTCTTTCTCAGATGGGGAATAAGATACCAGAGTATTTCTCCGATGGCCAGACAAACAACCAACCCCCCCCCCCCCCCCCCCCCTTCTTCAGTTTTTTGAATGAAATACATGTAGTTTAGTAAAAGTAGAGCTTCATAGGCTGTCGATGTGTACCATTTTTTTATTATTTTTTGAATTGAGTTTGTTTTGAACTGATATAATGTTCCGAGTGAAATATAGTTTTCATTGTTTGCCAAAAGAAAAAAATGGGCTGAGGATTACAAATGTAATGTTGTTATGAAATATAATTGCACTCAAGTGGGATGTATACCAATTTATAAATATAATATATTTTTTGTTTATGCACAACTTTCTATATCGGTAATATTACCAAATTGCCTTCTAAATTAAATGGTGATGGATGAACATGACCTAAAACAGTACAATACGACAAAGAATTGTGTGGGGCATGCAAGTTTTTAAGGTAGAATTGGAACCGACAGTACTTAAGGCGTTAGTTTGGTTCCTACTGGAATAGACATTGTGTGGTTTCGGTTTGGTCCATCACTTGAGGATCGAAACGAGGTCTGAGTACCGAGGGGTGATATCGTTGTATATTTGTAATTTTTGTAAATAATTATGGAGTATTTGTAATTTTTATTAGGTATATTTGTATTTTGTGAATATTAAAGATGTGATTTTAATTTCACGTGAATAGGTCAGGTACCAGAATCGGAATCCACAGGTTTCAATTCAGTATTTAGAAACCAAATTGATCGATTTTCAGTTCCTAAATCATAAGAACCGATTGATTTCGATTTCAATTCCGGTTTCAAGGGTTAGGTCGGTACTGGACGCCCACCCTATGTTGTGCCTACATATCTTCTTCTTATGCATACTCTTCTTGCCTTCGTGCTTTCATCAATTTGTCCCCTACATGGGCGATGGAATGAATCATCATGAGGTGGTGATAATTTTAAAATTTTAATCATAATATATATATAATCTTAAAAAAAAAAAAAATGATTATACGGATAAAATTAAACTTTTATAATCAAAGTTACTGAAAAAGACTATTACAGCTATGGAAAGCTTAAATGAACGTACAGGATTTCACTTTGAGGAGCTAAACCGGTTTCAAAACCCACACGATGGAAACAACTTATTCAATATTTTGTTTATGACGTGGCACTCTACACTTACCACTTTAGGTACTCCACCATCCTCTCTTTACACCGCTCTACCTTATCATCGCCGACCCAAACAAATCCTCTAAGGCTATTATAAACTGAAACTCCGAGAGAGAGAGAGAGAGAGAGAGAGAATCTGAATCCAGATTTTCTTACAATCCAAACACACAGTCTCTGTAAAAAGCATCTCGTATTTTCTCACGAAACAAATGAATACGACGTCGTTTTCTATTTCAGGAGACGATAAATAAGGTACGGACAGTTTTTATTTTTATTTTTTGGGGCTCCTTCACCAGACCTGTAAAGAACTCGATTTGTAGGGTTTCGAGTTAGGTCTTTTTAGCTGTTAGATTAGAATGATATCTGTTATGAAGGGCGACAGTGAATTCGATAGAAAATCTGATGCTAATGCTGAGGAAGAAGTTGAGGCGAAACCTAGAGTTTCAGATGATAATGTTGTTGGTAGTTCAAATAAAGATGAGAATTTGTTAAAATCGGGAGTGGATAATGAAGTTAGGCTAGCTCCGGAGAGTGGAAGATCTGAGGAGGTTAAAGTTAGGGTTAGGGCTTCTTCAGAGAGTGGTAATAATGGTAATAGTACAGATAATGAAATGGAATCTGGGTCTTTTGAAGTTGAGGAGAACAGAGTGAGTGTTAATCAAATTGATAGACGAAATAGTGACCATTTTGAGGCTGGAAATGATAGATTTGACGATAAAAGTGATAGAATTGTGAGTAATGTCTCAAGGGTTGAGGGGCATGGAGAGGCATATAATTCTTTGCTGTCAGAGTTTGATGATTTTGTGGCCAACGAAAAGATGAACGTGGGGACATCGAGGTTGTTGAGTTATGGTTTTGAAGTGGGTGATATGGTATGGGGAAAGGTCAAATCGCATCCATGGTGGCCGGGGCATATATTCAATGAATCTTTTGCAACTTCGTCGGTGTGTCGCACAAGGAGCGATGGCCATGTATTGGTTGCTTTCTTTGGAGATAGTAGTTATGGGTGGTTTGACCCGGCTGAGCTTATTCCTTTTGACCTCCATTTTGCGGAGAAATCACAGCAAACATACTCTAGGACTTTTGTTAAGGCTGTGGAGGAAGCGGTGGATGAGGCAAGTAGAAGGCGTGGTCTTGGATTGGCATGTAAGTGTAGGAACCCATATAATTTTCGGCCTACTAATGTTCAAGGGTACTTTACAGTTGATGTGCCGGATTTTGAGCCTGGAGGGCTTTATTCGGCTAATCAGATTAAGAAGGCAAGAGATGGGTTTCGGCCTCCTGAGACTCTTTCCTTTGTCAAGCAATTGGCATCAGCACCACGAGGTTGTGAACAGACGAGCATTGATTTTATTAAGAATAAGGCTACTGTTTTTGCTTTTCGTAAGGCAGTGTTTGAGGAGTTTGACGAGACTTACGCTCAAGCTTTTGGTGTGCAGCCAGCACGCCCTTCTCGGGATCGGGGTGCCTTATTAGATCAGTCTGTTAGACAGCCAACTAGAGGTACTACTTTGAATGCGCTGCTGACTCGTTTTAGTTGTTTTGAGATTTATACATTTTGTCAAATTTCATTAACATTTTAATGCATAATCAGCCTATTCAGTGCTGATTATTCTTTTTTATATATATATGTATGTGTGTGTGTGCATTCAGCTCTGAAACCATCATTTTGTTATTCTATGCATTCTTTTCCATTTTAGAATAACACGGGGTGCAAAGGTGTTGAACTTTTTGAAAGCCCCTGATTGCTATTTTTCTTCTCAGTTTCTAATGATGAAAACAAACTTACTTAATGAGGCCTATCTAGAGTTTTCATAAGGGTTATTTTCTGTGTGACCCTGTGCAGTGCCCTTCCACAGTTCAACCTCAATTTCATTCCAATTAATTGATGGCCAAGCATGGATATGTTATTGGCTTTTGTTGATTAATTGTCCTTTCTTACTATGTTTGCTTTCTGCTTGTACTGATACCTAAGGTGGATGCCACATTTTTGCTTTTATGGGAGTGGTTTCCTGTAATATTTAATGAAAGTGACTCTATATTAAGCCAAAGTTGAAATAAAATCTATTCGCATGCAAACACTGCCTTATTTCTCTTTTGTGTTTGTTGCCTTCTTCAGCTCCTTTGAGTGGTCCTATGGTATTTGCTGAAACTCTGGGTGGTGGGAAGAAAAAGTCTATGAAGGCCAAAGACCTGTCAAAGAAAGACAAATATGTTTTGAAGCGAAGGGATGAACCAGGTGACTCAAGAACTAATCAGATTAGCCAAGGGCCTGAAATTTTATCAAGCCCATCTGCCGTCATGGAGGGATCATCAACATTGGCAGCTGGACATTATGTGTTGCAGAAGAGGGCTCCAGCAGCTCATACAGCAGTAAAACTAGAAGAAACTGGGTTTATAAGCAAGGACAGTCCAGGTTCAAGCGGGGATGTATCTGGAAAAGAAACCACAAGCAGAGATCACGCCCCACCCTTCGCTGGTACTCCTACCATCCAAGTTACTGCTTTAGATGTAAGATCATCTCCAGATATCCATGAAATGAAAGAGAGGGTGGAGCCAGGTTTTGTTTTGGGCTCCACTAGCAGAGATGGATCTGATATGTTAGAAAAGGTGGTCCCAGGTTTGATGGAGGGTGCATGGCCATCTTCTAAACGGGAAGATGAGGTTATGGTTGACTTTAAAAATGAAGAGAGTGCAAAACTGTCCAGATCGAAAGAAGGCTATCAGCAATCTGAGCAAAGTTTCTCCGCAAGAGGGGAAGGAGGTCATGGGTTAGATCTAGTTCAGGACAGTCGCCCAAGTGTTAATCCTTTGTCAATTGATGCAAAGCATTCTGTTGGAGTTAGTCCTGATGGTAAAATTAAAAAGCCTAAAGCTCTTAAGCGGCCTCTGGTGGACATGAGCTCTTCAAACTCTCTGATGGGGGATCAAAAGAAGAAGAAAAAGAAAAAGGAGCTTGGCTTGAAAGTAGGTTCTGATAATCAGCAGAAGCGTTTGACCGTTGGAAAAGGTGGGATTGCAGTTGGGAAGGTGACGAAAAAATCTTCTCAGGTTGGTTGGACTTCTAGGGAAGATTCACGGGTTAATAATCAGAGAAAAGATGTTGGTGATGGTAATTCAGAATTGACTTCAGTTGGGACCATGCCAAGAGTTAGCATGGAGAATGCTGAAGTTGGGCTTCCGCAGTTATTGAATGATTTACATGCTCTTGCTCTTGATCCCTTTCATGGTGTGGAAAGGAATTGCCCTGCAATTATTCGGCAGTGCTTTCTGCGGTTCAGATCCCTTGTATACCAAAAAAGCTTGGTTCTATCACCGCCATCTGAGACTGAGCCTGTTGATACTCGTGGTGCAAAATCTTCGTCCGGTGTTGCTCCCAGTGAGAATGTCAGAGATTTGCCAGCATCAAAACCAATGAAACACCTAGCCAGACGTGATGATCCTACAAAGGCTGGGCGAAAACGTCTTCCATCTGATCGCCAGGAAGAAATTGCTGCAAAGCGATTAAAAAAGATTAGTCATATGAAATCATTGACCACAGATAAGAAGTCTGGACAGAGGACATCGGATGACCAGCGAATAGAGGGCAAAGAACATGCGACTATTCCTCCAGCGAAGCCCGCCAGACCTGATAATATAAAGAAATTAGAGCATCCAGCCAGAGCCGTGGAGCCCACTATGTTGGTGATGAAGTTTCCTCCAGGGACATCGCTTCCATCTGCCGCTGAGCTTAAGGCTAGATTTGGTCGTTTTGGGTCAATAGATCAATCAGCTATCCGTGTTTTCTGGAAATCTTCAACATGTCGAGTTGTGTTCCGCTACAAAGCTGATGCGCAGGCAGCATGTAAATATGCGAATGGAAACAATGCCCTGTTTGGCAACGTGAATGTGAGATACATTGTTCGGGAGGTAGAAGCTCCTGCAGCAGAAGCACCTGACACTGACAAAAGCCGAGGGGATGACCCTCCCGTTGAGACCGTACGTATCAAGGATCCCATGCTTGATCGACCAACACATGCACCTCTCCCGCAGACAACAATCCAGCTGAAGTCGTGTTTGAAGAGACCAACAGGCGAAGAAGCTGGGCAGGTAACAGGTGGTAATGGCAATAGAGGGACAGCTCGTGTAAAATTCATGTTGGGTGGGGAAGAAAGTAGTAGGAAAGAGCCATTGATGGTTGGTAATAGAAACAACTTCAACAACAATGCTACTTCTTTTGCTGATGGTGGTGCTTCTTCTTCTGTTGCAATGGATTTTAATAGTAAGAACTTTCAAAAGGTTATCGTTCCTCCATTTTCATCACCTATTCCTCCGACCCCTCAATTTGCAAAACCACAATTTAATAATTCACATCATACTGAAGTAGTAGCAGCGCCCAGAAATTCTCACAATCTTAATACACCCACAGTCCCACCACCCAGTGCACCAACCATCGATATTTCACAGCAGATGTTAAGCCTTTTGACAAGATGCAACGATGTTGTAACCAATGTTACTGGATTACTAGGCTATGTGCCTTACCATCCTCTTTGATTTGGGCAATACAATAGCCAGATTATTAAAGATGGGATCACACTAAAATGCTGCCAATAGCATTCATGTTCAGAGCTGCATCGTGATATTTTGAGTTCTGGAAGTGCAGCAGAGCAAACCGAACCCCAAAGCAAGGACTCGGGGGATCATTTTGCTGTGAAAAAAAAAAAGAGGCAAATTTTAAGGAATCCATAATGAGGCATTTGGGATTCAAAAAGAGAAACACTCATGTACTGATATTTTGATAGTGCGTGCCTGCAATCCATCTGCTTTGTATTTCCTTAATTTATGAGACCTTTTGTGGCATACATATGGGCCAGCTGAGCTTGTACCTGTACTGCGAATGGTGAAAATTTTTGGTCTTGTAGTTTCGTTTGGTTGATTTGATTTGATTATTATGCCTCATCTACCCATCTAAGAGTCAATTATGAAGACTCTATAAGAGTCTTCATAACTTGCCCCTTGATCACCATTTCAATTTGCTGAATCTCTTTACTTTATTTCGAAACTATATTTTTGTTAGAATTCAGCTTTCAATTCCCATTTCATAATCATAAGTTGACAATAAGTGATGGAAGGCAGATTATGGGCACATCTTAACATTTTTAAAACCCAAAATAGCACATACATATATAAAAGATAACAATAAAGATTGGTTTACAATCCAATCTTATAAATTTTTTTTCACAATCTCGACTTATAAAGTCACAATTGATCGGTTCATAATTGGGTAGGTGGGATTTATAGTGAGCCGGCAAGACTCATTTATAAGCTGATCAATTGTGAGTTTTTACGTTGGGATTATAAGAGTTTATAAAATTAGATTGTAAGTGTAGTATTGCCTAAAAGATAGTGAACTAGGTTTACTATCCATTCATGTGAATTTGGGCTTTTAAGTTACGTTGACCATCTTAGTTTTAAACTATTTTTTTTTTTTCAACTGTGTTCATGTAAGTTTAGATGCATCTCGATTATTCCTTTGGAAAAGTTAGTTTGTAACAACACACCGTTGCGATCTCTTAGGTAAATCATAGGCAAAAGTACCACTTTTGTATCTAATAAAGAATTGAACATGAGACTATAAGTTGAAGTCATACATAATCCTTTTGGATCGCCCATAAGCCAAATATTATTAAATACTAACCCTGTATTAATTAAATATTAATAAAAAATAATAATATTATATTTATAATCAAACCTTTAAATAGTTTATTTTTGGTAATTTATGTCAAATATAGAGACTCCCTAATCACCCTCTAAACCTCCCATTAATTAAAACCTTAATCGTCATTACTTATTAATTTAACACCCTCCATAATTTCCCAACAAAAACCTCCAAATTCTCTCAAATTCAAACCTCCTCCTGGATCTTCTTCCTCCTGGCTCTCCATTATTGTTTACCCAATAATGGGGACCAGGTCTCTTGACATTACTCTCATTTCCGCTTATGACCTCAAAAATGTAAACGTTCTCTCCAACATGCACGTCTATGCCGTCGCCACCTTCTCTAGTGAGTCCCAGACCACCTCCGTCCACCGCGACTGCGGCGTTAAACCCAACTGGAACCACCACATGCGGTTCACCGTAGATGAAGCTTCCTTATCACAGAATAATCTTCATATCACTTACAGTGTTAAAGCCAGTCGCGGCTGTTTCGGTGACTCCGACCTCGGAAAAGTTCACGTTTCCATTCAAGAAATGCTGGCTCAAAGTAATAATGGATCAGAGGAAAAGAACATGACTTATAACATCACAACTCCCGGTGGTCGGTCTAAGGGTTATTTAAATGTTTCTTTCAAGTTTTCGCCGACGCCGCCGGCACCCGCCATGGCGGCTGCTCCAATTTACGATACCCCACCGCCTGGAATGTCTTATCCTCCTCCTGGAACTGTAGGTGCAGGAGGCTATCCGCTGCCGGATCATCATGCAGAGTCTAATTCTCCATACCCTCCGCCGGCACAAGGGGGATATCCACCACCGCCGCAACTCATGGCGGCGCCTCCAGCACCCACCACCGCTTCTTCTCCAATTTACGATACCCCACCACATGGAATGTCATATCCCCCTCCTGGAACTGTAGGTGCAGGAAGCTATCCGCCGCGGGATCATCATGCAGGGTCTAATTCTCCATACCCTCCGCCGTCACAAAGGGGATATCCGCCGCCGGATAATCATCATGATGGGGTTAATTCAGCGCACCCGCCTCCGGATAAAGGCGTATATCCACTGCCTGATCAACATGGAGGATATCTGCCCCCTGATCAGCATGGAGGATATCCACTCCCACAAAGCTCTTCACCCATTCCACCCCCTAACTCATGTTATCCACCACCGGCAGGATTCCCACAACTGCCGCCTCCGCCGCTGGGGTATGGAGGTACTCCACAACCTCAGACTCCACCGCCGGCACTCGCAAGTGGGTATAATTACCCGCCACCGGGTCCAGGGCCTAGTGGAATGTCAGCATATGGAAATTATCATGGTCGGCCGGTTGCGCCACCGAAACAAACGGGCGGTGGCGGTGGTGGTGGTTTGGGTATGGCGGCCGGAGTGGGACTGGGAATGGGAGCAGGAGCGTTGGGAGGGCTGGCTGTTGCAAGTATGATGGATTGGGATTTGGACTCAGATTAAAAGAATGGATAGACAATCGGGGGATTTTGATATTTGGATTTTTGATTTTAAACTTATGTGTTTTCTTTTTCTTTTTTAAAAAAAAAAAATTAATTTGTTTATAATTATATGCATGCATACAATTTATTATATATTTTCAATTTATTTAAATTCATAATTCAATTCAATTTTTTTTTTTTTTTGTTTTTGTTTTTGTTTTTGTTTTTATGATCTCGAGCGTGATGACTGATTAATAATCAAATTGATTTGATTCCTTGCTAATCTAATTACGAAGAGTTACATAAAATCATCATATTTCCGACATTATATCGATAATTAGCACATTCATCATAAGTAAGAGCTCTAACCCGGTATGAAGATCAGGATCGGTATCATCGTTAACATCAATATCGGTCACTATCATTAATATCAATATCATCCATAAGAAAAATTTTAAGCTTATTATTAAGGAACTTGTTGAAATACTGGATGGAGTATATGTCGCCTTCTTGATCAACATCTCTCTGTAAATTTCAGTCCAAAAATGGATTACAAACCAATCGACATCAACATAAAGAGTTCCCACACCTTCAAAACCTTCCAACACAAAATCTTTCTTCCTCAAGAACCGACCGTACGTGGTCGTATCCTATCAATGGTTTGCAGTTCTCGTTCGAGCCAAGAGACTCCATCAGGAAAATCTCACAGAAAAAAAAAAATGATAAAATGGGATTTTTCCATGATATTTTACGTTGAAAACTCCAAGTTACAATACAACAGGCTACTGGTAATGTGTCAAATTCGGAGCACCGGGATTATAGGGTTTGATAAAGTGGTGGGAGAAGGTTCCGGTGAAAGAGCTTCTGGATAAGTACATGCCTTCCATTAAGAATGATGATCATGGTGACTCTGCAACTGCTTCACCTCATCCATTGCCGTCGGCTCCGTATATTGCCTCACTAATCACTCTTCCCCGTTAATGGTGATTGATGAAGTTTGAATGTTTGATTGATTAGGGTAATATTGATGTTTTTTTTTTTTTTTCTGTTGGATTATAAATGTGAATTTAAGAGTTAATTTCATGTCTATACACACACTTGTTACCATTTCTCCTTGTAATTGTTCCTGAATGTAAAACTAACACTAAACAATAAAACAGTTGACGTAGGTTTGGTTATCATCACTTACCGAACCATTTTAAAAATCTGCTTCTATTTGTCTTTTATTTTTGACCTGTTCATCCCACTTTACTGGTTGGTACAATCACGCATCCACCTGATTCGATCCCGATAAGGTGATGGAGTCTTTCTGACTATTGCGGATTAGAGTCATAATACTAATATAATGAAGGATTAGAGTCATAAAAAGTCTTTGCGGTCAAAAGAAGATTCCTATGAGGATGGTGGGGGAATGTTTGATATAGTAGTCAAATTTGCCTAGGAAAACAACTCCTTTACCAAATCGAAAGCATAATCCAAAAAACAAAAACAAAATTTGAAGAACAATTTTTTACAAACAATTAACAATAAACAACTTTTGAAAAATATGGCCAGTCCCACCTCCCATTCTCAACCCGAATCTGAATCCATGAACCTCTCCTCCTACCCTGTCATCCACCCGACCAGAAACCCAACTCCCAGCACAGCCACCACCTTCCATCACCTTTGCATCAACCAAGACCACACCTGCTTTGCCGTCGGCCTCAGCACGGGTTTCCGGATCTTCTTAACCAACCCGTACAAACCCATCATGCACCGCGAAAACTTGGAAACATCCTCCGGTGGGATCAGGTTTGTCGCCATGCTCTTCCGGCACAACATAATGTGTCTGATCAATGGCGCCACCAACTGCGTCAGAATTTGGGATGATGTCAGCAGCCGGTACCTCGGCGAGATCCCGTGCCGTGCCGAAGTGAAGAACGTTAAGCTTGGGCTTGATAGAATCGTTGTCGTGTTGACGCAGAGAATTACGGTTTATGGGTTCAAGGACCTTAGGGTTTTGCATGAAATAGATACAGTAGTAAACCCTAACGGGTTGTGTGATGTGTCATACAACCCGGGTGGTATGATGCTTGTTTGTCCCGGGTTACTTAAGGGACAAGTTAGGGTTCAGAATTTCGAGTTCAGCAGAACAGAGTTTATAATGGCGCATGATTCGAATATTGCGTGTCTTGCTTTGACTTTGGATGGGCGTTTCTTGGCTACTGCGAGTTGTAAAGGAACTTTGATTAGGGTTTTCAATACATCGGATGGATCGCTTCTGCAAGAGGTATGTGATTTTCTTGCTGTTTAATTAATTAATGATGTGTTTGGAATTTTTAGGGTTCTTAGAAAGTGGTTTTAGTACTTAGCAAATGCTCTGGTTTTACTCGAAGTATAATGTAAGTACTTCTCTTGAAAGTGCTTTTCAACGATAAGAATGTTGCTGTTTTAATCAACCAAGCACTTTAAGAATCAGAAAACCCCTTTTTAGCAAAGGGTTTTAGGAAAATACTTGCATTTACCTCTCCGGATGACAGAACCTTTAGCCATTGAGGTTAGCTATACCTAAGGGTTTTGGTCTATTAGACTTGTAGAGTATTCCGTGACCCTGAGAACTAGGCAGAGTCCAATTTGGGCATGGATAGCTCACTTACCTTTAAAAAAAAAAAACTTGTATTTGAATGGTTTAAGTTGAATTGTTGTCAAAAGTTTGTTTTTACTCTTGAAAGCACTTTTCTGTTTCCAGAAGTATGTTTTACTTAAGGTACAATGCAATTCCAATTTTAATGTAGGTATTACTCTTTGAAAGTGCTTTTGAATGATTAAGAAAGGAGGTGTTTTTTGTTTGTTTGAATGTTCATTTTCTAATGGATGCAGTAATAATAATATTGCAGGTGAGGAGAGGAGCAGATAGAGCAGAAATATACAGCTTAGCTTTTTCTAAAACTGCCCAATGGCTAGCTGTTTCAAGTGACAAAGGAACTGTTCATGTTTTTGGCCTTAAGATTCATTCTGATACTTCACTAACTCAAACTACTACTACTGTGCCTCAACTTGATGTTTCCAGTAACGCTTCATCTCTTTCCTTCTTCAAAGGTAAAATCCCCCTGCAATATTCTCACCCAAATCTTCAATTTCTGAGTACTTTACACGTTCAAAGATTATGAACTTTGGTGGAGGCTTCAACTTCAAACTCCCTCGACATGAAACTGGATATTGACTTATTACTAGGGATTCATATATGTTTGCAGGTGTATTACCAAAGTATTTCAGCTCAGTGAGGTCAGTGGCTCAGGTAAGATTGAAGGAAGGTGTGAAGTACCTTGTTGGCTTTGGAAAGAACGACTTCACTGTTGTAATTGTTGGCATAGATGGAAGGTAATTCATGTCAGGTAATACATTTGATTTGTTATACTGGTAATGTGACCGATAATTGCTGATATTTGAATGCAGCTACTATACATATGAGTTTGATCCAGTGGAAGGTGGAGAAATGAGTCGGCTTGAATATTATAATTTCATGAAGAATGAAGAAACATTCTGAAGTCTATCGATTTCTGTTAACATTATCAGTTTTTAGTGCTTGTATTTGTACATGTTGTCTAAATTCTTTTAGGAGGCTGGTAATTTCTGTAAAGGTATACAAGTAAATGAAATGTCATGGGTGTATTTCTAAATTTTAAATTAATAGGGGATAATTGAAATTTTGCATTATACCCGAAAAGGAACCAAAACCTGCATTTCAAGTTCCGACTCCAAGAACCGAAGAACCGGAACTGGTTGGTTCCAATTCCAATTCCTTTTTCTAGGAACCAACCGGTTTCACTTCTTAACAACTCTGACGAATACCCAAAACTGCTCACTCCTTTGTATATGTTGTCTAAATTCTTTTAGGAGGCTGATAATTTCTTTAAGAATAAAACTACATCAACAACTTCCTCTCACAACCCCCATTCACAACACCGACGTGGTACCTGAACTGCCATTGCCACGGCGACTCCATCACACCCAAAACATGAAATGATTTTGACTAGGCCAAAAAAACGACCATTTCTTTCATAGGGAATGGCCGTTTCTCACAAAAGGAAAGGTTGTTTCTCCGTTTCTCAAAAGGAAGAGGAGGAGGAGAAGAAGAAAAAGAAGAAGAAGAAGAAGAAATGATTGTCCCTTAAAGGAACAACTATGTTCCCTCAAGGAACAATCATTCCTCATGAAAGAACGATCGTTCCTTCTTAAAAAGAACGACTGTTTATTTTCTGTAGTACTTGGATGTCTTGGGTGGGGTGAAAGATGACATGATTGTGCTAATCTATTGACACGTTAGGGTTATAAGAGAGATTTGTGAGAGAAGGTTGCTAGCGTAGCATCACTTTTTCTTTAAAAGCATACAAGTAAATGACATTCAGATAGAGCTCGTAATCACCATATCATATTTGTTTAAGTAATGAATAATCTGAAAGGACTACATAATCCAATGAACAAACATATCAAAACAATAAATTTTTTTTTTTTTTTTTTTTTTTTTTTTTTTTCAAAATTGTGGGTCATTCAATGAGATAACTTGGATGCAATATTACTCTGCATGATTTGTATGAATATTCACATAAATGGATTGGCTTCCTCAGGAGTTACAGTCAGAACCACCACGTTATCATTTGCTCTTTGTACAACTACCTTCAAAGGCTTTCCAACCCTGTCTCCATTATTTCTATGATCTGAAAAATGATCAGCAAACAAAGAATTCAGTGGCTTAATTGTCTTCACCAGTAAAACAGTATTATATAATATGATCTCTAGCAATTCCAATATTTTGGTGTCGTTGAATACCTCCTTGATGCTTCCGACAGGCCTCCCGTCGAATTTGATAACAACATCACCAGGACGGAATCCAGCGCGATGAGCGGGAGATCCAGGAGTTACCTATTTGACAAATAAGGAAATTTTCAAACGTGAGAGGCATCTAAAATTGCCAACAGCTTATATGCAAACAAGAGGAAAGACAATATTGGAGTACATACCATAGGTACAAGAACACCCCTTTGGACATTAGGGAAGGAGGGATCTCTTTCTTTAAGCTGAGCAACAATCATCTGATTAAGATCAAGCATTTTCAATCCAAGCCAAGGACGAACAACTCTCCTGCAGAACTTCACCATTTAGCACATTTACCATTCAAAACAATGGTGCTCCCAAAAATACATGAAGGATGAAAGTGGCACATTTATAGGTAATACCATAACGAAACCAAAAATGACTACTAGACTCAATTAAAAATTAAGAAACAGTTAGACTGACTTGTTTTTCTTTTCTAGTTTGTTTCTTTTCCAAAGGAAGAGCTGGACTGAGGGAATGATTGGAAGTTGGAACAAGAGATTAGAAACTGTTGGACCCTGCTTTTGATCCAAACTTTCAAATGGTGTTCTAAGGTTCCAATTTTACCTTGCTAGACAAACTGTAGACTGATAAAAATGGCAGAACTCGACAGAACATTAGTCAATACGAGTCAAACTATGGTATACACATAATTTACAAGAATGAAAAGGAATTAGTTTTTAAAAGAAGGGGAGTTGGTCCAGAGATAGAACACTTTGTGGTCTAAATCTCAGCCCTAGTTGAAGGGATCATCTCTGCGCTCACTGATGGGAAAATTAATTCACAGGAATAGCAATTACTTTTATAGTAAAACAAATTTCTAATCAGCAGCATGACTGTCGAGTCTATTTCAAGCATTAGAATAGAACTCATAACTACCACAAAACAACTTAAGGAAATTATAAGGCAGAAATAAGAATGTAAGAAATTCAAATCCTTCACTCTTAACATACTTAAGTCAAAGGTGATTTCTTATAAGCAAAACAATGGATGCAAGATGACAAGTATTATAGAACTAAGCAAGCTGATTATACACTGAATACTTGCATGCAATTATACAAGCAGTTGGATAAAATAAACATAGAAACATACCCCTTCTTGTTGAAATGCTCTATAATTTTGGCTACTGAGTCCACTGGTACAGCAAAGCCCAATCCGGCTGCAGCCAGTACTTTCATATTATTAACACCAACAATTTCTCCATCAATATTAACCAGGGGCCCTCCAGAATTTCCCTATACCGCAGAGGTAGAAATATGTACATGAGAGAGCAGCAATAATAATAAATAGTGCAAGGATTTGGCTAACTAAAGAGATGAAAATTTGCTATTCTACTGTATTTATAGTCATAAATAAAATATAAACTCTTATGAATGAAATCTATATCCTTTAACTTCCCCTATAACATTTCAAATTCTACAGCAGAACTCGCATGCGCTAGCGTGTGCAGATCATGGATAAAGCACTTCAATCATCTATAAAAGTGTATTTGTGAGCACATACACGAAGAGTATGAGAGTTACCACATTGATTGCACAATCTGTTTGCAGATACTCTCTCCGCATTCCACCAAGACCCAAATCACTGCTTTTACGGTCAACACAACTAATTCCATAAAGACCAAACAAATTAGAAAAAAGGAATCTCAAAATAGCATAAAAAACATTAAGACAAAATGGATTTCCTGTGATCCTATATTTAAGAATAAGTGAATTCTGCACTACATCCAAGTACTTCAATACCTTACAATACCAGCTGTTACAGTGTTTTGAAGAGAAAGTGGGCAGCCCACAGCCAAAACCCAGTCCCCAGGCCGAAGCTTACTGGAAGAACCAAGTTTTGCAGTTGGAAGAGGAGTTTTAGAGTTTATCTTTACAATAGCAATATCAGAATGTAAATCAGCATTCAGCACTGTACCCTCAAATGTCCGACCATCTTGCAGAGTTACATCAACCTGCATAATTCATCACATTTAACATTTTATACATATGCCAGAAACAATAAAATAAAGTTCTTAAAAATAAATTTGTTCCATTCTCCTAGCACAGCAACCATCATTACAATTGTACATGTGAATCTCTGTATGTATGAAATACAAACCTTTCCCATAGAAGCACGGTGAATGACTTGAAGATCAACCACAACATGAGCACATGTCAAAATAGTACCATCTTCATCTATTATTGTTCCAGAGCCTATACTCTGGCCCATAGTAATTCCATGGAAACCTACTGAAAAAGACTTAAAATCCACAGTTTATATACCAGGAAACGGCTAAATCACTTAACAACAAAAAGTATTTCAGAATTAAATACCCTGAGGAACTGCTAGATTGACAACTGCGGGACCAACTTTAGCAGCTGCATTGGCAATAGTATCTCTACCTAAACATCTACGATGTAGCTCTGCCTCATCTTTGACCTCAACAGGACCCGGATCCTGTTTCTTTATATCTCCAGAAGGAGCTGGACTGACTGGAGAATTTATATCTCCGGAAGGAGCAGGACTGACTCTAGAGGAAAAAATTGCAGACTTCCCTACATGTCCAAACTCGAAGTCAGCACAAAAACAATAAATAATAAATAAGAGGTAAAAAGACAAAGCAAAGTTGACAATCAAAGGTAAATCAAAAGGATGGCCAACCAAGTTTCCACTTTTCAGATGAAATAAACGGAGAAGGTTCCCGAAAGCCTTGCAAGAATTGTAAAGATGGTGATTCATTGGATATCACTGGAATCGACAGCGATATTCTTGTTCCTACAATTTAATCAACAATGATTAAATTTAGAGAAACATACTTTGACTCTCGAATTCGAAAAACCCTTTAGAACCCAGAAATCTTTCATCCTACAATCACTTTATAAGCAATCAAACACAAAAAAATAATAATAATAATAATAATAAATAAACGGGACGACTCACCATATTCTGAGTTGCTGCTGGCATACAGAATACCTGACCCGGCGGTAGCAATGGCCACTGCCCGGATGAGATTTTGTGCGCCGGATGAGATTGAAACCTTTCTCTGCCCGTTGACATTGAAATAATTAGATAAAAACAATAACACAACAGAGAAAACACTTGCCCAAATGAATGAGATAATAATAAATAGCTTACCAGTAATCTGTGCATGATAAATAATGGAAAATACACTTTCAACTTGATTGATGCTTAGAAATGGTAAACAATTTTGAAATGGATTGTGTTGTAGTAGTGAAAATAAATAGATAAATGGCGATTGATTCAAAAACCTTAGATAAACCCTCGTATCAGAGTTTATCTTTTTCTGAAGAGGGGTTCTAGAGTGTGTAATTATGATTATTCCAGTTACTACAGCCCGTATCTCAGGGACCGTTTCAAAATAAAATTACTATTTTAGCCTTCACTCAGTCAATTTCCAAAATACCCTTTTAATAAAATAAAATAAAATATGTACATACAATTTTATCTAATAAAACGCTAACCCGTCTCTAAAAATTTAAAAAATAAAATGAGTAATTAAAAAAAAGTCTTTACCGTTCCCCCAATTTAGTTACATTCATCTAGATTTTAATTTTAATTTTAATTTTACAATTTCATGAAAATTAACCATCTTATTGTTAGGGACAAAAATCGTCCTCGGCCTAAATAGGGAAACAAGATCACTGGTGAAGAATGACCAGGCCTAATTTTGCAGAGGCCCAGTTAGGATTAGCCCCATCTCTCACGAAGTATAACCGGCCCGAATTACATGGGCGCGAGCCTCTTAAGCTCTGTCCAATATCTAGGCCTATGGGTGAGCCCAGAGCCCATAGCCCTTTCAACATTTTCCCATTCTTGATCAATCCCTTATTCAAGGTCGTCTTCCTCTTTCCTGGCGACTTTCCCACTTGAGGGTCATTCTCCTAAATGGAGTTAACTTCCTATTTAGACACTGATAAGGACAGCTGATTACGGCCCTGATTCTTCTAGGGTTGGCATCACAGTCACACTAGGACTCCTGCTCCCACCAGGATTGGAAGACCATACGATCACTATATAAGCAGAGGCCAGCCCTCTCACAAGGGACATCGACATTACACCTTCACACCCAAGACTCTTTACTCGAGAGTTTCACTTATTCGCCGTAGTCACAGTCCCCGACTAGACTTCCGGTAATCTCTTATTCTCTAGCCCTCACTATATTAGCCTTTCAGCCTTGCTGACTTGAGCGTCGGAGTGCCTACGGTAAACACCACCCTGGTGTTTTCCGTTCGCTTCACGCGTGTGTTTCTCTACGTGTGCAGGTACAGCAGATCGCTAGTGGCCTCAACCTCACGGGATCAAACTCCTCTTCCCGTACAGGTAGATTTTTACGTCTACACTTATCCGTCATCATAACAAAAAAGCCTAATAATATATGCCAATGGTTAGAAAATTACCATTTCACCAAACCTTAAAAATAAAATAAATTGTCGAACTGTGTCTAAAAATTTAAAAAATAAAATAAGTAATTACAAAAATTACAAAAAAAAAGTCGTTACTATTCCCCCAATTTAGCTACATTAATCAAATTTTCAATTTTTATTTTATAATTTCGAAAATTGACCATTTTACCTTTCATCATAACAAAAAACCCTAAAAATATACATAAAAAAAATATCATTTCACCAAACCTTAAATAAAAAATAAAACACTAACCTGTGCCTAAAAATTTTAAAAATAAAATAAGTAATTGAAAAATTATAAAAAAAGAAAAATCGTTACCATTCTCCCAATTTAGCCAACATTCACCAAGATTTCAATTTTTATTTTACAATTTAATGAAAATTAACCATTTTACCCTTTATTAATCATTATAACTAAAAACCCTGACAATATATGCCATGGATAAAAAAGTATAATTTCAACAAACCTTAAATGGAAAAATGTCAACTTATATTAACATGAATAGATCATGGTTTTATATTTATTTCAATATTACAAAAATTATACCTAAAAAATATATTTAATCCCTCAAAATTAAAATTAAGAAGAAAAAAAATTTATTAATGTTATTGTTGTAATTTTGTACAAAAGTTAAGCCTTTTTAGGAGACTTTGAAGCTTTGTCAGCATCAGCAGTTACGGCCTTTTTGGGCAGGAGGATTGGATTGATATTTGGCAACACACCCCCGCTTGTGATTGTTACACCTTGTAGAAGTTTCCCCAATTCGTCGTCGTTTCTTACTGCCAATAGCACGTGCCTCGGGTTTATCCTGTTCTTCTTGTTGTCACGTGCTGCGTTCCCCGCCAGCTCTAACACCTTTCAATTATTTATTTCACAGCAACATCAGTTATTTTTTTTCCAATAAATAAATAAAATATAATTTTTTAGGAGAAATGATTTTATATTTTCCTAAATATTTTCTCAGTTACCAAACAGAAAATGTAAGTCATACTGAGACAAGTTTTCACCCACTCAGATTACTCACAATCACTATATATATATTAAAAAAAACACCTGAAAAGTTGGAAAAGGAAAGTTTAAGCCGCCTTAAAATTCGAAAGAATTACTTTCTCATTTGCCAAACAGAAAAAAATGGTAATAAAAAAGAAAATATATGAAATGTTTTAAGCCCATCTCTTTCTTTTTTCTCAGAAACCAAACAGAACCAAAACCCAAAACAAAAGAAAGGACACAAAAATCGGATCTGGAAATCGATACCTCGGCGGCGAGATACTCTAAAACGGCGGCCATATAAACGGGGGCCCCAGTGCCCGTTCTCTGAGCGTAGCGACCCTTTTTAAGGTACCGGGCGATCCGACCGACTGGGAATTGGAGGCCCGCTTTGATCGATTTCGTGACTGCCTTTTTTCTCTCTCCTCCTCCGCGGCCTCCCGCACCTTTCACCGGCTTCATTGACGCTTCCATCTGTCTCTTTAAGAGCTAATGCGATACCGTTCTAGTTAATAGCAGAACTTATTTGCGCCGAAGTTGCTTTGCACTGAGAATGTTTTGGATTTAAACGTTTTGAGTTTTGAATATATATGTAGGAGATACGCCACGTTGGCGATCCCCGTGGTTGAGTTGTGGCCAATGGGGGTGCTTTGCTTGGAGTCAGTTGTGTGTTCTGTGGATTGTTGATCGGACGGTTGCTGTTTGAGATGTGATGGTCATCCGAGTGGTGGTGGTGTTGACCAATGAGAATTATTTCGTGAAGGTCAAGGGGCTTTGGAACTTGTGAACCGTGAGATGTGCCACGCTGGAAATCCGTTGGTTTCTACTTTTGGGTTTAAGATCTACGTGTTTAACTTATAAAATGTTAAATTTATAAACTTCTAATTAATATAAACTTATTTTATTATATTAAAATTAATAGCAGAGTTTTGAGAAAAATAGTTCATATTTGTAAAGAAAAAAACAAATAATTCATTTCTCAATGTGAATTTTGATAGAGATAAAATACTACACTTACAACTTAATCTTATAGATTTTCTCTCACAATTTTGACATGATAGTCACGTTCGCTAGTAAATAGGTCATGTTTGTTCGGTATGGGTCTCACATGCCCAATTGCAAACTATCACGTCAAAATTATGAAAAAAAATTTATAAGATTGGGTTGTAAGTCAATCTTTATTGTTACTAATTTGAAGGAGAAATATGTTGCATATTTTTTTTTAAATGATTTCTAATTTTATTTTATTAAGTATATAATTATTAATAAAATTAACTTTATTCACATATGAGATAGTAATAAGTTCAAAAATTATTTATAAAAATTTATAAAAATCGTTGCTATATATTCGGTTTGGGGAAAACTCAAGCCCTTGATCGGTTCTAGGGTCGGCATGACATAATAAAATTTTAAAATTCTAATAAATTTCCAAAATAATTCCATCTAAATAAAATAAATCCAAAATCCAAAAATAAAATAAACAATATAACATAAATAAAATTGACGGTTGAACCGACCCAATTTCTATTATCGGGTTTAGGATGTACCCAAACCTAATAAGGGTCTAGTTCCCGATCAGACCAATCAAACTAGTCGATTCGACCCTAGGTCAATCTGACCTAATTGCTATAACTAGGTTTAGGATGTACCCAGACTTAATAAGGGTCCAATTCCTGATCAGACCAATCGAACCAATAAATTTGATATGAGTTTAAATACACTAATTCAAAAGAGTAAGGAGTCCAATCACATATATACATTATAAAAGTCCGCAAGATTGACGATGTTGGATAAACAAAACTTCTAACAAATATTATCATAATGCACAATTACTAAAAATATAATTATCTTAACAATATAAGTTAATAACTGATTTAATAACGGAATACATTATACATGCAATATTCTTCACCGTTCTTATGAATAAGAATATTATCCGACATCGAAGCATCAGTTTATATAGAGTCAAACATCTTAGTTTGCATATATCTGAGAGAAACAACAAAAGCTAAAGCACCATCCATGGCTTCTCGAGCACCCGCCAAGGCCTTCAAGAGCTCTTCAGTCACCGTATAATTAGAGCATTGGTTAAGAAGGCGGTCGTGTCTTTCTTGGTACTGCACCATCCTTTCTTCAGCTAGGTCCAATGCCTCACTTACGAGCCTCAAATTCTTCTGGGAAATCTGATGGCGGAGCCATCTCTTCAAGGATGGCAAACAAAGAAAGAAGGATGAAGAGAAGCCAATTATGGCGAAGATCAAGCGATCATAATCCATGAAGCCAGCTTTGTGTTGATTGAAGAATGAAGAACGTAAAAAGAAAGAGAGAATGAATTGACTATGGAGAGTTCAGAGATTCTTTGCTTCCATAATTAAGGGAAGGTTTTGAAGATCAAGCGACCATAATCCATGTAGTTTGTGTTGATTGAAGAATGAAGAAAGTAAAAAGAAAGGAAGAATGAAGTGAACACGGAGAGTTTAGAGATTCTTTTCTTCCATTAAGGGAAAGTTTTAATCATATAATAATTACAACGAAATTGTCATAAATATTGAATACAAATAAGCATATTTTGCAAGAAACTTATTTGCAATCTAAACAGAAATACAAAGAATACAATGTTCTTAGACTATAAATCAAGAATAAATGATTACCTCCCGTCATTGAAACAAACTTACGAAGTTGTATTTTGACTCTTCTAATCTCTCAAGACACTCTAATATTGATGGTGTATTTTGTCTTTGTTGAGTATTTGAGCTTAGGGACCAAAACATTATATATATAGCCAAGTTTTCATCAAACTCTTAATTGCATTGCTTAATAGCTGCCATAAATTCCAATAAATGATTAAACAAAAAACGTTTGGAAAATTAAAACAACAAATGTGGACCATTAATCTTTAAAACTGATTTATATTTAATGAGAATCAATTATCAACGTTACCTGAGTAATGTAAGTTTTACATATTTTTCTCTTGTATAAATGTGATTGCAAATCATAATAAAAGAACATTCTTTGTAATAAAAGAGGTAAGAAAATATTTCAATAATATTGACTCTGTTGGAGATAACCCGTTTATTGAGTGAGTCAGGGTAAATCACGTGTGTGTTTTCTATTTACTGTTTATGTTATTTGTGTGTGATTGTTTTTTATATTGGTTTTGGTTACTCTCTAGATTGTTTCATGTTGTGGAATGTGGATGTTGGCGTTTAATAGAAGAAGAAGAAGAAGTATGTGAATGTGAATATAATTAGGGTTGTGTGTGGAAAAAATGAGTTTATATATGGAGGGCAATTATGTAATTATTTAAATATTTGAAGGACAGTATGGTAGTTTATTGGATTTGAGACTAGACGAGGCGGGGAGACCTTTATCCTTGTCCTTGTTCCCATCCCTGATTTTTTTAGGGAATCCCCGTCCCGAATAGTTCGGGACGGGGCATGGAAAAGGTTCATCTCTAACTTCATTCACCCAAATCGAGTTTAATATTCAATACTAGCGTCCCTTAATTGAATAAATTAAAACTTGTGTTCATTTGTTAATATTTCATTTAAAAAAAATTGTACTCAAATTGATAATATCCCAAAATAAAAATAATTATTATCGAAAACATATCATAGTGTATTTTAAATTATTTTCTTTAATTTTCTTAATGTTTCGTATAATTGACAATCTTTTACATATAAAGTCTAACCTATAAATACATTCTGTTTTCTTCTTCTTTAATTTTTTTTTTGTTTTATGTTAATTTATTATTTTTTGAATACCCTCAATCATAATAAAAAAAAAAGAAATCAAAGTCAGAGAGGATTATATGTCCAACTTCTCTTAACATTTTCCGGCTTAAGAGTTAAGGCTCCGTTTAGTTGGTTTTTGGGAATACTATTATTAGTATTTCCAAAAAAGTTAAACAGTAAAATGCCCAAAAACTCACAATATTATATAATATTATTCAACTTTTTTTAAACCCCTAAATTTGTTAATTTAATTAAATACCCGTAAATATTTTTTTCGAAATTGTAAAAACACCCCTAAACCCACATTATACCAGATTTCGGTCACCACTGCCGGAAGTTGGCCGGAATTTGATATAATGGCACACTATCGGCTGAATCTGGCCGGTAGTACACCTATCTAGCCTTTTCTGGCCAGATCCATGGTGGATCTGACCGTAACCAGACGTCAACGACGGCCAACATATGGTCGTCGTTGATCATCATCTTTGGCCATCATTGACGAGCAAATGCGACTAGATCTGGCCGTCAATGGCCAGATCTAGCCGTAGATATGGCCGGCAAAGGCCATATCGACGCACGACCGACAAGATCCAGCCAGTCATGCGTCGATAAGGCGACTTCGACCACCCTTTGACGGTGGTGGCCGGCTGTGATTATTCAATGGGTGGGTTGGGGGTGTTTTTGTTAACTTTTAAAGTTTTATTATATGGGTGTTTAGTAAATAAACAAATATAGAGGGTATTTTTATTAATTTTTAAATTCTACATCGTAATACCCATTCAATTCAACTTTTTTTAATTTTTTCTAAAACTTTTCTAAAAAATACAAAAAAGTGAACCAAACGGAGCCTAAAATTCCAATAAACAACCCGAGTCATATGGAGATATTAAAGAGCAAGGAGAAAGTCACATCAAGGAAAGACAATATGCTTCTGTTTGTCTAAATGACAAAGACATTAAAATTACCTGAATACCCTAAACCTTGAACCCTTCACCTAAAATCATTGGCGATTCCCCTGAATGGAGCTTTGATGTTCTCCATTTCTGGTAGAAGAAAGAGTACAATTAGATCAAGATGGATTTAGTTGAGAACATTTGCACAAGAAAAGAAGAAACGTGCAATTAGAGAAATAAACAGGTACTAAACACATTAGAAATGGGAAAAAAATAAAAAATCAATCAGAGCAGGGAAAAATCAATATTTTTCCTCCGAAAATCATCCTTGCATGGCGTTCTATTTCCAGTTAACCAAACAGAAATATCTTTCTTTCAGAGAAAATAAAAGAAAACAATACAAAATGTAAAGCTTCATAAAAGAAAGACGAAACAAGAACAACTTAATATTTTAATACTTCCATTTTCCAGCGAAATTTCTCAGGAAACAAACATAACATTAACCTAAAAGTTGCTTCTTTCAATCCAACATAGGAAACCCTTTTCATATTCGTCTTCTATAATAAAAATTTAACAATAAAAACACAATGTTGCTCACTTGTAACAGTCCACCAATTTAGCGATACGAAACCAATATAACTTCTAACATACACAGTTACCAAATTTAATTATTTTAACATACATTACACATGCGATATTCTTCACCGTTCTTATAAATGAGAATAATCCGACATGGAAGCATCAGTTTCACTTGATAAAGAGTCCAAGATCTTCATTTGCATATTTCTGAGAGAAACAGCAAAAGCTAAAGCACCATCCATGGCATCTCGAGCACCCGCCAAGGTCTTCAAGAGCTCTTCATTCACCATATAATAAGAGCATATTTGATTAAGAATGCGGTCGTGTCTTTCTTGG